TGTATCTAATAATTTTTAGGCTGCGATTTTCAAAAATTGCAGACCTATAAATACTGTCTGTCCTCCCTTAATCTCGATAATGGAGTTAGATAGATGAAAGTAGAGACCAGATATGGAAAGCTTAGGGTCGGGAGGTCCTCCGGTTAACTAGATATGAACTTCAGATTTAAACCAGAAGTCATATTATTTCAATTCACAAATTTTCTCCTGAATGGTGCTAGATGACCAGCATGAGTCCATTGTTAACAGGAAAAGTATGATGTACAGTACAGGGGGAGACTACCAAAATTGAGAACATTGTGACAATGTCACAATAAATAATTACTTGTACCAATACAGAACTAATTTTATTTATTTTATTTACAGATCCTATTAGTGACCTCAAATGATGACCGTCAAGAGAAAATGTATAAACTGTGTGCTTTAGCATCTTTACTATAATAAATAGCATACTTTCTTCTAATAGAGAGGTTGAGGCGCACATTTTAAACGTGTACGTCTGACGTTCGGCGCCGCTTTCCCGTAAGCCTAAAAGTTTGACAATGGTGTTTGGATAGTCGGTGGAATTACGCTCGACATTCCAAACACCATCGTCAAACTTTTAGGCTTACGGGAAAGCGGCGCCGAACGTCACACGTACACGTTTACACGTTTAAAACGTGCGCCTCAACCTCTCTAATATCTGTTATTAATTTTAACTTTGGAAACCAAAGCATACAAATTACTCTTTCTCTTTGATTATCACCATGTCATTTTATGGTTACTAACGTAATGAATAAATGAAATAGCCAGTTCTACATTGATGAAACTATTACACAGAAAACTTGAAAGTTAAATTTTCAAATATTTACTGCATAGTTTTAGCATTAATACATCTTTAGTTACTGATATATAAGACTGCACACAGACTATGTTCACAGATCAAATTGATTACATATTCTATTTTTGGAACTAAGAGATACTGTGATAAAAAAAATCTCAAAAAATAAATCAGAAGTATGAATTTAAATGCAAACTTATAACAAATTCATCATTGCAAAATAAGACGTTTGAATATATCATTATTCAAATTCAAAGTAAATATATATAATATAAAATTTGTATACAATTTACAGTAACCAAACGATACAAAATGAATAAAAATAAAAGACAAATGAAACGAAAATGAAAAAGAAGAAAAAGGAAATTTTGTATCATATATATTTATTTTGAATTTGAATAACGAGATATTCAAATGTCTTTGTAATATTAAATATGTTCTTAAATGTTCTATACGGTAAAGAACGGTTGTCAATGTTCGAGGATTTTTAAACCTGATGATGGCCTGTGGAGCATGTTGAAAACATTCATTGATGCAATAAATAGTTTCTCAGTGCTTTAAGGTGGTATTTTATTTTTCTTCATAATCCAATATTTTTATTTATTCCATATTAATATTACAATTATTTTCATTACAATGTTCCAGCTGAATTATTATATCTCAATTCAATGGCTTATTGATTCTTGTTAGTCTTTAGTTAAAAAGGTTTTAAAGAAATAAATTCTCCATATGGTGAGATTGTCTACTGCTTACAATTTAACCTAATTTTCTACAATTGATGATGTTATAAAAATTAAATAACTGAATAAAACAGATAAAAGAATATAGAAGTATTTGAATTTAAAAACAGAGAGAGAAAAAATTAGATCATATAAAAAACTGAATAATTTTAATAGAAGATAAAGAATTATTGGAAGAAAAATCATATGAAAATTCATTTGAATATAAATTCCATACAATTCATTTTCAGGGAATTTATTCTGAATTTTATTGCATAAAAACATGTTGCTTCAAATATTATATTAAATTAAACCTTGAAAATAATCTTGAATAAAGCAACATGAAACTCCACTTATATATTTGCACAGAAACCATAAATTTTAATTACTATAGTGTTTTTGTCCATTTTTAACAGACCTTCCTCAAGTAGAACACGAAATATCTTAATTAAAGATTGAACAGAACTGATCTAAACTTACTTATTTTATGATTTATATTATGATTTTTTGTGTTCTGTTTGAGCAAGGTCTGTTAAATATGGCTGGAAACATTATAGTAATTAAAATTTTTGCCATAACTTATGGTTTCTGTGTGATTTATAATCTTAAATTTGGTACATTGAAAAATGACAACTTTTTAAAGCAAAATATGCAATAAATTTGATATATAGATCTGCTTGCACAGATTTCATTACAATTACTTTCCAGATCTAATCAAAACTTGTTCTATTGTATAATAATAAATTAAAGCACAAAAACAATTATATAATACTGCTGCATCTTAAAATCCATTGAGCTTATAATTGATAAACTAATAAACATATAGTAAATACTTGTTTAATATTTTGTTCAAAGCACTCATCAAATTTTATAAGAAAAATCCCCCCACTTCATGATTTTTCCTATTATGACTAGTATACATTTTCTATTATGACTACAGAAAGTGCTGTATCTTCTTTGGCAATCTTGTTGCAATATTATGTAACTATATTTCTAAGAACATAATCTCAACTTATGAGACAGTGCTTACGAGAAACATGATGGCTCACTCAATGATGGTTTCTGAAAGATTGTACGTGCATTTTAAATCTGAACAAAATAATTAGGAAAACACAAAAATGCAAATTTAAATTGGAAAAGATCTATAACTGACTACAGAGATGCATCTATTATAAATTAAATTTAAACAATAAAATTAATTTAAATAAAAATATGAAGCAGGATAGTGTAAAACATGCACAGAAACAAGACAGAGAGAAAAACAGATAGGAATAGCGATACTTTTACAAATATTTGAATTCTTGACATATTGATTTCTTTAAATTCGAAAGAAAAATTCAGTTTATATAGAGTGATCAATCAAGATTATTTGTGAAGAGTAGACTCAGCAATACCAGCAAGGACTTTAACATGTTATCTTTAGAGTTTGTGATAAATGTTTAAGTACTTCGTGCAATATGTAACAGAGCAGTAACAATCCCAGATGGTTCACAACATCACCAAGTCTATTCCTCAGAACTAAACTTTGATCACTTTGTTATAAGAAGTCTAAATTTAATAAAAGAAATATTTTAAAACTAATTTACTCCAACAACAAATGGATCTCGAACTAAATAGCTTAGAATTAATAAAGACTCAAACTCTTCTATCTTTTCTAAGCCGTTTGATTTGATATAAATCTGAAGCCAAAGCCTCGTTGCTCTAATAATGTTTGCATTTTTTCATTAAATTTGGANGTTCCATATTTTTATTATAATTGAGTTTCAATGATTTTAAATGCCCTTCTTTCTATTCCTCTTAGAAGTTGCATTGAAAAGATACACACACACATACACACAATAGTTTATCTAAAGGTGATCTTTCATTTCATCTCAATGCAGTGCATCATGTCCAATTTTTTTTTTAGCCAAATGCTAAAAAAAAACAAGAATGCCATCATAAAACCTCAAAGAAATGCAATCTTAATAATTCATTTAGATATTCAAGTTGACAATAATTATTGTCTCGCCCCATGTATTAACTTTGTTAATGCATAGACGAAAGAAAGGTGAATACTTATTTGAACAATATTCTAACAAATTCTATTATAAAAATTTTATGATTGTTTATGTAAGTTAATTTATAACATTCTTTTCCATTGTTAAAAAAATATAAAATAAAAATTCTTAATTGCATGCTAAATCCACACTATTTTTCAAGATGTGTGAAGTCTCACAGCATCAAATTCATTCTGCGAAACCACTACAGTGATTATTTATTTGTTTTTCACTAAACACTGAAACTTGCATCAGTCTTTGACCAGAATTCTCAATTGTAGAATATAATGTCCGTGTGATATTGGTGCTTCTCTCTGTTTCCTTTTATGCTCATTATTTTGCAAACATGACTCCAAAAAGCAAGGCAATGATGTTGGTACTTCTGATAAGCTCAAGATAAGCTGTAAAGGAGCTACTTTAGTGGAAAAAAATTTGTGAGATAGGTATGCTAGCATAGGAAATACTTTATTGTTAATGGTGGTTCTCTATTTTACGTGAAGTGTCTTGGAACATATTAGCCATGTATAGTGGGGTCCTACCATATTAGTTTAAATCAGTGTTTCTCAACCTCTAACAAATCGTCACCCCCTTCAATAAAACCATTACGTAGTATCGCCCCCTTCACTACAAAATTCTGATGCCAAGGGCCAAGGCTAAGGCCAATAATTTGTACTGCATTGAATAGACTAGTAATTAGTATAATGTTATTTGTTTAATTATTGTACGATATAACGAATAAAATATCTAATTATTCTTAATATAATGTTTTACTATATCGCCCAGAAAATTTTTTTTTGCCCCTAAAATATAAATTATTACTAATCTCCCCCTCAACATGGAAAAATGCCCACATGGGGGCAATATCACCCCCGTTGAGAAACACTGGTTTAAATTATAACTGTTTGATTGATTTATTAAACAAACCAGCACTTTAAAATTATATGGCCAGCCAATTTCTATGGTTACAGATATATATGACTTGCAGTGAGGTCAGCTATTATAGATAATAGATTTAAAAAAATGTTACTCCAATCCAAGAGTACACTATAAATATAAATCAAAACTAATTTAAGAAAGAATACAATTGTTGAACAAACTTGGCACCATTTTACTAATGATAATTTAAGTTTGAAACTGATAATTGTTTAAAAGATTGTTCTTGTAATAAACATTATAGATTCTCAAAAATATTGTAAAGAATTAAAAAAATATATATTGAATTTAAACATTATACAATATTCTACAATAGACTAACAACTATTAATAATTAAATTCTAAATAATTTGGTACTAGAGATAGGAGTTAGGCACTATCTCTTATTAAATTATTAATGATTATAACTAAATTAATATTTACTAAATTTAGAATATTCTGGAAGAAAAGAATTAACCTGGAACAGGACTTGAACCTGCAACTCCCACTTACCGTGTGATATGTTGCTAGTTATGCTACCAGGACCTCTGTCCAACTCTTTGCTTCCAGACATATTTAATTTTAGATATAACCATCCATGGATACTTCAATATGGCAATCATTTGGCTTGTTGTTAAAAACATCAAGCTTTGAGAAGTTTATAGATGTATATATACTTCATGCTGGGGTAAAGCAATATCTGGCTGAGTGCCATAGTGGGTGATTACAGGCCGTGGATGTAGGAGTTGTCCCCAGTCTCCACCATAAGTAACCATGGATGGTTATATCTAAAATTAAATATGTCTGTAAGTAACAGGTCTGACGGTAGCATAATTCACAACACATCCACATGGTAAGTGGTAATTGCAGGTTGCTATAATAGTTATGTTATTATAATTAGAGGTTAAACTGATGAGGGGCTTTTGCCCAAAATATCTGACTAAACAACTAATAAAATATTTCTGAAACAGTGATTAACCATGTAGTTCCTAATGGCAGATTCACAATAGCAAAAGAAGCATCTTGTTATTTTGTAATACTAACTGGAATACACAACTCAACTAATAATACTGATTTTCACTAGATCATTGAAGTTAAGCATTAAGGGACATAGACAATACAGAATTGCTAAGTACGGTTGTCTTATCTCATCCAGAATCTGGTAGCTCTGGCCTGTTAAATCTGGATTGAGAGAGAGAATCTGTCAGTAAAATCGAAATCTGGCCATAAGATGAAACCAAATAAAAAAAGGAGTAAGCTCAGAGAAAATGGGACTAATAGTATTAGAAAAAGAGAAAGACTGGCAAGATAAATTGTCCTGTGTTGTTTGAATTAAATACTGTATACAGTCAAACCCTGATATTATATTAGCAGTTTATGCAAAGTCCAGGTTAACTCTAAGCTCTGAAATTTCTTTCTTTTGTTATATCTCAAAGTTGTTTTTATCTCTCAGGCTAAAAGAAAACTTGTACAGCAAAACCATCAAACAACTTTTCCTTTGGCCAATTTCCAATTTCGTCTCAAAAAGATGTAGAAAAAGACTGCCAAAATGTAGCCAATTTTGGCCAATTTAATGTTTAAAAAGTTAACTTGAAGTAGGATTTGGGTCAGAAGGATAGGCATTTCAATGTTAATGAATTTGGTTAATACAAAGTGTCAATTTTTAAATTCCTTCAACTACATATTAACAGAGTTTGACTATGTTTGTGTATTATATAAATAATATCTAAAGGCAAAGAATCCTACAGCATTCCTAAATACTTCCATTGCTAGAAGAGAAGAGGAGAATTATCATTACCAAAAGTATTACATCATATCCCCTTAAAAAACGTGGTGTTTTAATTATAATTAAGGCTACACAGATGGGAAATAAGTAAATAAGCAAGAAGCCAAGTGAAAAAGTGACAAATCTATTGAGTAATTGAAGAGCAAAAACTGCTAGTAATCACACAGCTGAAAACAGAATTAAAACTTCTGTTATTTCTTTCTTTTATGTTCCATATTGATTGTTGCATGGATATTTTACTAACTCACATTTGCATAATCATAGTGCAACACTATGACTATGAATGTAATATTTTGAATGAATATTAAAGCTCTTTTTATGAAATTTTAATAAAATGCATCTGAAATTTACTCATACTAAAAATAATAATAATAATAATAGAGAAGCATTTCACAATATTTTTAAAATTTACTTACTAAAATTATGAATAATAAATTAGTAACTGCTATCAGTTAAATTCTGCAAACCTATCAGCTTCTCAGATAATACTTTTATGGCAATGTACATATAATACGGGAATTAGACTATATTTATAAATTGTATGATACCACAGATGTAAATGTAACAAATATTGTACTTTATTACAGCATTTTTTATTGATAAAACATGCAAATCTAAGCATTTTCAAACTTATCATTCAACTCAGGGATATTCTTGTAACAATAAAAAAAATGCTCTCTACATTCTAAATGGAATTACTTCAAATGACTTCCTTCTAGTTATCATTTAACATCACCCTAAGGTTGAAAATGCTTGGTTTGGGTTTTACCAATAAGAAATCATCAAATAAAGTAGAATATCTAAGAAAACTTAGTGTTTTTTTTAAATAAAAAGACACAATGTTTTCTAATAACACACATTTTATATTATTCCTCTTATAACCATTTTTTACTAAAGACAAAGACTATAAAATCAACTTTTTTATAAACCTTTAATGATATGCATTTCGGATGTTATACACCCCACTTCAGTCTTTCTACAATGAAGTAAATTTACAATTATTAAAACCACATGTATGGATACATAAGACACTCTCCAATAATAGTTAAGATAATTTTGAATTTTCTTAGAAGTATATGAAAATAAACTGCAGAAATAATTTATAAATGTTTAAAATATTCATACAAAAAATAAACTGAAAATAGGATAAGATGCCAAAGAAAGATATAACATCCATTTGCATGAACAAGCTGCAATAATAATAGTGCTTGTGTCCAAAATTAAAGCCACACAAGCATTTGTAGCAAAAACAGAGAAATGAACCATGCAAATGCCTTTTTCTGAGGCCTAATGAGGTTCTGAGCAAAGAAGAAGTGTTCCTGATACATCAGTAGCTTACTACTGATGTATCAGGAACACTTCTTCATTGTTACTGCTGATCACTACTGATGTATCAGGCACACTTCTTCATTGTTAGCTGTCCTAACAGACAGCTGTTTGTTGGAAATGATTACCTCCTATATAGCACATTACATTTTGTTGCATGGGTGCTGCTATTATGCCTCATTTGTATGACATGATAAGATGGCACTTAGCTGATTTAGATATCATAAGTTTCAGCTGCTCATGTTTCATAGTGTTGATTTTATATAGCTTTTGGGTACTTTAATTTTGGACATCAATGTACAAAACTATCCTCTCCATGCACAGTGCATTTTTATCAAAATGTTAATTTTTCTTGATTTTACAATGAGCTCATCTAAATTTTTTACTACTTACATTTGGAAACAAAGTTTATAATCTGTACATAACACTATCATTTACTAAATAACTGTGTTTTATATTTAACTATAAAATTTAGTGCTTCATAACAAAACTATAACATTAGCAACATTTTTGAGGCTCATATATAAATGTTATATGAAAAAGATTAATAGTAGTATTGATTACTACTACCAAAAATTATGTATAGAAAAATAAGAAAAAACTGAAAATTCCTAAGATATTTTTTGATAAAAATTTCAAAGCTACAATATTAATTTAACTTTAAAAAAGTAGGTTTTAAGTAAACGACTTCTAATTTTGAGGTTTTATATCAATCTAGTAACCAAATATACAAGGTAACTTGACTGAATATGGCTCCTATATTAAATAATACATTTGACATTATATGACATGCTTCAAATTGCAATGTGACAAGACACTAGCTTTGAATTGTGACGTGAGAAGTTGTGGACCATGTGATATTGAATAAAAGTCTACAATTCATCTTCATTTTGAGGAAACTGTATAGAGACATTCACTCTGATGGCAATGATGTCTCTCAAGTTTTCAACTAGAGGAGATATATGGAAATTATGCCAGCTAAGAAAATACCTGGACATCTTGAGAAACTGCCAAAGTGTATGCTGTCTTGATGGCTATGAACTGAAGTAATTGCAACCTTACCAACAGTTCCATCGCTGTCTTTTCTGATAGCACTGCAATCATTGCTGCACTTGAAAATAAGGACAGTACACGTCCAATTGCTAGAGACATTCTCACAGGTTTTCTGGGGACATCCACCGATTTTACCTCAACTGGATTAGGGACTACCAGGGCACTCTGTGCAACGAATGAGCTGACTTCCTCGGTTATGCTGCTACAGATAACTCTGCAACTTCTCCAGATTACAACCATCTTCCTATGTTGAGACTGAGATATCTTCTTTGGCACAATGCTGTCAAGGCTTGGCATGGTGAGTGGGAGGTGGTCCCCAAGGGACATATCAGAAGATGGTTTACCCAAACATTGAACAAAGACTCAACAAAAAATGGATCAAACTTGATCACAGACTCAGTCAATTCTTGACCAAACATGAACAATTCAATGTATACCTACAAAGGTTCATCGATTTGAACACTGATTGCTCCCCATTGTGTGGGGTATGTAATGGGATTATGTTATGAAATTATATTTTTGATTACCTCATGTTGGAAGACATCGCATTTTTCTGCCATTAAAAGCTAACTTGGAGGATTCAGAATAGCCATGCTCACTAAACTTCTTTTCTAACTAAACAAAACAACGTCAACATTTTGAAGAAAATTACAAAATTCTATCTTACAAGGACTGATTCACCGAGCCTTAACTTTAATGGAATCTCCCAAACATGACACTGCTTGTTTTCTTCTCTTTGCTATCATCCTGTGAACAAGAAGATTGTGATAAGGTATGAGATGCTGTAAGATCAACTGTAATGATCCTGCTTTGCACTTATGTGTTTCTCTTCTCTCTTGCTTTTTTTATTTTGTTTTATTTGTTTGTTGTGTGCTCCTGTTTAACTGGCATGTATTCTTCAATGTTCTTTCTTTGTATTCTAACCTGATTGTGCATGGCAGTGTTGGGTGAAAAGGGCACCTGTACATTGGGGTACTTGGAGCACGCCTCCCCCTTTGTCGTTGGGATGCTCTTTTCTTAATCCCAAAGGAAACTCTACAGTTTCATTTTATTTTTAAATCAGTTACTCATTTTTATCACATGAAACTTTTTTACTGATGACAAAATAAAAATAAAAATATTTGTTATTAACCAAAACTCTGGTGGTGATTGTTCAGTCAAATACTGAGGTACCACTGTATTTGATTAATACGATTTTGATGTACATGGTAGCACCTATATATATTTTGAGCCTATATATATCTAGTCTGCGGGTGCTGCTGTTGGGTGATTAATAAAGTTTACTTTGACTGATTGACTGTTGATGTTAGTCGTATATAGTCATGGGTTATGCTGAAAAATGGCATTGGTATACCCTGAATGTACAATGACAAGATGAAGTACAAAGTCTCATCAATGTATCAGCATGC